TGAAAGAGAACAAAAGACGCAACATCTTTTCTTCTGATGCAGATCATGATGCCAGCCTGTTTGAGGAGGTGGGACTCTTTATTAGAAGACATTTTTGCACCTAGCTTAGTGGTACCTTTTCCCAGAAAATTCCTTCTATGTTCAGGGAAGGACATACATAGATACCCCTTCCCTATCTCTTGTGGTGGGTTGACCTTGGCTGGATGCCAGATGCCCACCAAAGTAACTTTATAACTCCCCTACTCAGATCAATGGGGAGAAAAAGTACAAAGGAAGGCTTGTGGTCAAGGTAAGGGCAGGGAGAGATCACTCACAAGTTACCATCATAGGCAAAACAGACTTGACTTGGGGAAAATTAATTTATTGGCAGCATCACAGGAGGATGGGGAAAGAGGGTCGTAATCAGTTCATCACCCATAGTGTCTGCAGCTCCTTCCTCCTTAAGGGGAGGACTTCTCATACTCTTTCTCTGCTCCAGCATAGGGTCCATCCCATGGGAGATAGTCTTCCATGAACCTTGTCCAACATGGATCCTTCCCACAGGCTGAAGTTCTTCACAAACTGTTCCAGCATGAGTCCCTTCCATGGGATGCAGTCCTTCAGGAACAGACTGCCCCAGTGTGGGTCCTCTGTGGGGTCACAAGTCCTGCCAGCAAACCTGCTCCAGCGTGGGCTCCTCTCTCCAAGAGTCTGCAGGTCCTGCCAGCAAACCTGCTGCAGCATAGGCTTCCCATGGGGTCCCAGCCACCTTCCGGGATCTCTCCATGGGCTGCAGTGGGACAGCTTCACCACGGACCTCCATAGGCTGCAGGGGGACAGCCTGCTTCATCCAGGTCTTCACCACGGGCTGCAGGGGAATCTCTGCTCTGAAGCATAGAGCACCTCCTCCCCCTTCTTCTTCACTGACCTTGGTGTATGCACTGTTGTTTCTCTCATATGTTCTCACTCCTCTCTTTTCTGGCTGAAATTGCCCCTGCACAGTAACTTTGCCACTTCTTCAATCTGCTATCCCAGAGGTGTTACCCCCATCACTGATGGAATTGGCCTTGGCCAGTGGCAGGTCCATCTTCAAGCCAACTGGCATTGGCTCTATCAGACCCAGAGGAAGCCTCCAGCAGCTTCTCACAGAAGACATCCCTGTAGCACCCTTGCTACCAAAATGTTGCCACACAAACCCAACTCACCTCTTAACCAAAAAGGAATATTAGTCTCATTCCTGTAACAATGCTATTTTTGCCAAGCAAGGTGGTTAGCCTTTTACTCAGACTTGTATCTGGGGATATGACTAGCAACCATACTAACACAAAGGAAGGTTTGTGCTTAAACTTAACATATAAAGCACAACAGACTACAGTATAAGGAGAAAAAAAGCAAAACAAATCAACAAACACCCACCTCCCAAATGCAGTAACTGTCTCTAAGTTACTGTCTCTAAGTTTTCTCTTTTCTTAAGGATCTCAGAATATTCAAATATAGTTAAGAAAGCGAGAAGCTCCTGTTTTTTCTTCTTTTACCTTATTCACAGATCCAACTAAATTTACGCCCTCTCCTTTACTTGATGAATGTTAATTACTTTTTCTCTATCCCAAACCATCAGAGCATACCTGTCCCAGTCTGACAGCAGTCTGGCTGCCATGTAAAAGCTGGTCTGCATTACTGCCCATTATGCTAGTTTTGTCTCAGGGTGCATATCAGATCAGCCATGCATTAGACAAACACAAGTAAGAGAGCATGAGAGGTCATCTGCCAGTGCAGCAGCTACAGCTGAGCAGCCATAATGCTGAAAACGCTGCAGCTTTTTAGAGACTTTCTCATCAGCACAGAACCCCATCTTTCTAATCTATCCATGCTGCCTTTCTCTCTTTGTTTTCTTTCCCCTTATGTTTCTAGCAGGTACCTTCCTCAGCCTCATTTAAACCTGTTGTCTTTGATTTGATGTTTGACTTATAAGTAGAGTTCACTGTTGCTGGAGAGGCAGCCACTCTAGTCAGCTGCCACCAGACTAGTAATAGCAATTGGTGATACCACAAGTTTCACACTGCTTTATTTATCTTCTTCCTTTAGGATTCAGTGCAAAGTTAATTACAGGATATGCAGCATGGGCATTTAAAAGAGTTCTAATCCTAGGATAGAGATAATTTCCTGAGTAGTGGGACATTTTCTTTCTCCTCTGGAGCGAATGACAGAAGTCTCTGATAAGAGCACGGCTTAGACTGCTTCAAGGCTCATTGACTCAGTTCTGTGGCTCTTGGAACTGTGAATTTGGACAGAATGGGTAGCTGAGGAGAATAAAAATGGGCATAAATTTGAAATGACTGTTACAGAGTTAGGAATGACACTCCTGGAAGATCAAAATGCATATTTTTGCCATAAGTCTGTATGAGAAGATAAGTGAACTTGTTGAAAGATTAATGGGATGTATAGAAGTAAAATGTTTACTAATTAGCACTTTTTTATTTCATCTCTTTTGCGGGGAGAGGTGGTGTCTGATTGCTTTTGCCTTTTGAAGGTGAACACAGGTAGGGCTTTTAATCATGGGGAAAGTTCTGGTTAGCGATAACTTCTTTGTGTCTGTGATTTCTATTTATGATGACATTTAAGGAAAAGGTGGAGCAAAGACTGTCACAGTGATTCAAAGGAGCAGGCATTTCAGACTAAGTGAAGCGAAAATCCTGTACCTACTTCTGCAAGGATAGCAAAAACGCTGCGGCACATGCATGTGAAGGCACAATAACTGTGACGCAACTAAGTGATAGCTAAAAAAGCAAGCAAGCAAACAAGCAAGCAAAAGGCTGTGGAAACTTGTTCCACAATGTGTGAAGTTGTTTATCTCATCAGGACCTTTTCTGACAGAAAGGCACATGATCACCACTTGGGCTGAGCATGGGAAGAAGTGCAAAGGAGGAAGTTACAAGATGCTTTACATAATCACAATTTTTTTTCTTTTCCAGTGTGTAACAAGACAAGGAAAAACTTTATCAAGTTTGCAATGTTTTAGTGGGGATGAACTCCACTGACTGCACAGGGGTTCTGGTGGCACAGGCAGCAGGTGTGCCAGGAACAGCTCTCATAACTGGAATTACATTTACTTCTTCCATACAAATCCAGTTTAATCTTTACTCATTGCTTTCATCGTTCATGTTTTGTCAAGTCTGTGCAGTATTATCGTAAAAAACCCACAACCTTATTAAGCTCTGTTTATGTGACAACTATCTTAGGCACGCTGTTAGCCTTTGATATGACTGTTAGAACATCTAACCTCTATCCAGGGCTAGTGATTCCTTGTTCCTACTTAGTTTTGTGCAAAATATAATTTCAGTCATAGAGTCACAGAATCATGTAGGATGAAAAAGACCCCTAAGATCAAATGAAACAGTACCAAGTCCACCACTAAACCATGTCCCTAGGTGCCACATCTGCACTTCTTTTATGTATCTCCAGGGATGGTGGTTCAACCACTTCCCTGGGAAGCCTGTTCTAATGTTTGGTAACCCCCCCAATGTAGAAATTTTTCCTAATATCCAACCTAAACCTCCTCTGATGCGATTTGAGGCCATTTCCTCTCATCCTGTCATTATGTGCCAGAAAATACATTTTGTGTTAGAAAATATCAGGCAAGCATGTCACCATGCAGGAAGTTAAAATTCACATGCAAGTGAATGGTCAATACTTCAATCAAGACAGTTAAGCACTTGTTGTACTCACATTAAGTTTGTTATTGCACTTGTATTAAGCACAAAGGTCAGTCTGAGTGTGACTACATAATGTCAGTGTAGTTTCACAATCCATTTTCTTCAGCCTTAGCACAGCTGGTTTAGCTCTCTATCCCATGCTGATCCTACACCCCACAGCACCACCTCATCACCTGTGGGAACACCATAATTTCTGAGGCTGTAACAGTGAGGTGTTTTCTTCAGTATCTAGTGATGGCTTCTGATCTCCCCTCCCCTTGTTACTCATTCCTCCCCACACAGCAAATTTTGAAGTCTTCTCAGTTTTGCAAATATGGACAGTAGATGGCAAGAAAATCAATTTCTTCACACCTTTCCTCAGAAAGTGAGACAAAGTCTGGGGCAGGAAATAAGGGCAAGGGAACAGCTGAACTTTTTCCAAGACAGGTATGAGAAAGTGTAACCATAATGGCTCTGTTTCCTCCTTTCTGTCTCCTTGAAAGCCTGAGATGTGCAGGTGTCAAGGATCCCTCAAGGTGCCTCCATTTTAGGTTTAGAAAATGTGTCATTTGCAGAATGTCTGACAGCGGCTTAAAAAGTTGCTACATCCTCCTCACAGCTGGGGTGGTGCATAGCAGAAGAGGTTTCTTCTGTGTTCATCTACTCATCTGGCGCAGGGTGGCCTCGAGTCTGAAAGGTTAAGGTGCAGAATTACCTGGCATTGGGACACTGGATCGGAGACATAGAAACAGGAGGGTGGAAAAAGTTGAAGTCTCCATCCTGCTTTTGCAGCACTTCAAATTTTTGAAGTGCATACACATTTGCAAAAATAGAATAAAGTCTCTCACCATAAATTAGGATTCCTCTACATGTATTAATTCAGAGTACTGTTTCTGAAACGCTCCATAGGGTAAACACTTTGTGCTTTTTTTAAAAAATGGGGAGAGAGCACAAGTCCCAACGTGACGATGAGGAGGACGAGGCTTTTCCAGTGGCTGGGGCTGACAGATATGACACAGCACTTAAAACACAGCATTAATAAAGTCAGGGCAGGCACCGCAGAGGCCGACATCCGCGTTTATCACTTCGGACCAGGGCCAACTCCAAACCACAACCCCCTCCGCCTCCGTGGCTCCGCAACCCCCGCCTCCACCCCTTCCCTCGGCGCCCCTCAGGCACCGCCCGGCAGTGACCTCCGCACCGCCCCTTCACTGCCGGCATCCCGCCCCTTCCCGGCCTGGCGCAGGCGCCGCAGCGGGGCGGGGTGGAGGCGAGCGGGCCGCGGTGGGGCAGGAGGAGCCGGGGCCGTGTCCGCTCGGTCCGCCCTAGGCTCTGCCGGACGCCATGCGGGTGCCGCCGCTGCTCCTGGCGCTCACAGCGCTGCTGGCGCCCCGCCGGAGCGCGGCTTCCCGCGGGGAGCAGCCGCCCGCAGGTAACGGGCGGGCGGGGGTGGGATGGGACGGGACGGGAGGGGCAGGCCGACCGATCTATCTCTGGTCAGCACGGATCTCCTGAGGGGCGGCGGGACCGTCCCGGAGTGCTCCGTGACCGAGCGCTGCCGGTGGGGCCGCCGACCCGTGTCCTGCCGCCGCCCTCTGCGGGCGCGGGGGAGTGCGAGCAGCCGGGCGGCGGCGAGGGGGAGCCGCGCCCCGCTTTGCTGAGCGTCGCCCCCCTGTTCCCCGGGACGGTGCCGTGCTGTCCCTCCGAGGAGCCCCGGCGCCGGCCGAGCCCGCTCTCGGTTCAGCCTTACCGGAGAGGCCGTCTCGAAGCGCCCGCACCGTCAGCCGTGCGGTGCTGGCATCAGCCCTTGTTTAAGGTCTTTGGGCGTCTTGTTCCGCAAAAGCCAGAGCAGGGTGTGCATCGAACAGGCGTGCTCCACTGTGCTTTGTAACTTCACGTGTCCAAAGAGGCAGAGAGGCTGGGAATTTCAGTGCGAAAATGGGGAGCACGGGGCTGCGGAGCGCAAATAAGGCATCGGGCTCGTGGCCTGGACCACGCGTGTGGGGGAACCTTTCGGCCAAGTGCTGGCGGGGTGAAGGGGTGGCTGGCCAGCGGAGAGCTGTTTGTGCAGAGATGTGGCAAGTAAATTATGAGAGAAATAGTCAGGTTTCAAGTTTACGTTCAAGCTGGAACAGCTCATTAAAACCAGAGATTGCTATCCAAAGTCAAACGAGAACATGGATTTAATTTTTAGCAGTATTGAGAGCTGTATACAGGTGTTGCACATCATGCCCTTCATGAAAGGACTCGATATAGGAAGCATGCCCACACGTTAGATAAATGCAGCACTGTTCTCCTGAGCTTCACAAACTAAGCAAGATCCGTTTACCTGAAACGTTACGTGCAGTAGGTCACAGAAATGCTGGCTGTGTGCCCAGGCTCCTTGGATTCTGCAAGTGGAGATGTCCTGGAGTTTAGAGCCATACCCAGGTGAAGTGACTGAACTTGCTTGCCCTTGGGGATGGGCCACACCATATCGAAGTCTATTTAAATTTATCTTATGTGGACTAAGAGTACTAAAAATGGTAATCTGCCTGCTTTCTTGTCCCTTGTCCCAAGTTTACATCTTGACTGTCCAGTTTGTATGAGTTGGTGGCTGATTGTTAATCTGTAAATCTTGCAGGGGAAACTCCCTTCTTTTCCATATTTGAGTGGTAGGGTAACTCGGTATGTGAAATACTGTCTTCCATGATCTGACTTAACTTCTTTTAAGGGTGTGCTTTTATTGCTAGTAAACTATGCCACTTTTACATTGTATTAAGCATTTTTAAGATAAAAACCACAATACCAGTAAATCACTTGTAAAAAAACCTGCTATAATCCAGCACAACACATGAACAGTTATCTCTGTGTAAGAGTACAGGCAGTGCTGTGGTGTAGGTGATGTAGCAAGCTTCCTAGAAGCAAAAATCTTGTCTTTCTGCCCATGAGTGTAGCAAACCCTCAGCTCAAAGGAGCAGAATATGCTTCTGAGTTAGGTTTTGAAAACAAGCAGCATTTTCCTGGTGACTTGCACTCGGGTTGGTCTCAGCCAGTTATAACCATGCCCTTCAGAGACTTCATCATTTAAGTAAAAACTTAGGTTTTCAGTGAAAAAAAAAAACCCATGAAGTGAATTCTAATTGATATTGCTGTATATTAGTTGAATGTGTAATGACTTATACAATGTTCTTATCATGATTATATTGATGCAAGCAGATTTGCTGACTTACAGTGGAAGAGTTGAAGTACAAGGGGAAGTCTGAAGGATGTTTATGATGCTTTCACACACAGAATCACAGAATGGGTCAGATTGGAAGGGACCACATCTGGTCCAACCTCCCTGCTCAAGCATGGTCATCCTAGAGCATGTGGCACAGGATTATGTCCAGACGGTTCTTGAATATCTCCAGTGAAGGAGACTCCACAGCCTCTGGGCAATCTATTCCAGTGCATGGTCATTAGCACAGTAAAGAAGTTCTTCCTCATGTTCATATGGAACTTCCTGCGCATCAGTTTCTGCCCATTGCCTTTTGTCCTATTGCTGAGCACCACTGAGAAGAGCCTGGCTCCATCCTCTTGACACCCTCCCTTCAGAGACTTGTAAACACTGATGAAGTTTCCTCTCAGTCCTCTCCTCTTGAGGCTGAAAAGACCCAGTCCCCTCAGGCTTTACTCAGAGGAGAGATGTCCCAGTCCCTTGAACAACTTTGAACCCTCTGCTGGACCCACTCCAGGAACTCCATGTCTCTCTTGTACTGGGGAATCCAGAATTTCATTGGCAACAGTTGTATGATTTTTTTTTTCTTAAGTCTTAGCAGGGCTTTCCGTATGCCAGTAGTGTAATACTTATCTCAAGACTGAGTATGTAATGGGGAAATGCCCAGTCATCCTCACATTCTGTTGTAAGACACCATTTTCCTTAGAAAAGCCAGACAACCTAACAGGTGTTGCAACACCTCCTGCATTTCCTACAGCTGAGTGTCTAATGTGTTTGCATTGATGCAAAGCGTGACTCCTCAGTGGAGCTAGGCACTTGTTGATGGGAACTCTCAGTCTCTATTTTAGTATCCTGCAAGAGGAAGTCTCTGGGCAAGATTACAGTATTAGAAGAAGATTTGGATGCTGTGGTAGCAGTTCAGGTGCTTATTGCACATTGAAAGCCAGATTTCCAAGGACATGTGTCGTTCATTTGTGCAACTGACTTCCTGTTATATGTGATAATCAAGGTGGTCTTGATTTGTTCTTTTATGGTTCAGGTTACTGGCAGTCATAGCAATTGTCTGTCCAGCTGAAAACAAAAACAAATTAGATGGTAGAAAGTTATGTGTTTAGATATCATCTATTATAATGACTTCTCATCTGTAATAAAACCGAAGAATAGTCATAAAATAGATAAAACAATATTTAGCTTCTACTATTACATCATTTTTTTTAGTGTCCATTCTGTGCAACTTGCTGTGGTTTTTTAAGATAGTGATGTGAGTCTGCCTCTCATCTCCATACAACTTACCATCTTGTGGAGATTTTTATCATAAACAGTGCTTTTAAAAGCTCCATAGAACAGTGTCAAACCTTTGAGCCCTAAGAAAATAAAATCATGTCGTAAATAGAAGCTGTAAAAATGCTGTAAATACTATGTATAGTGTTCATTCTTTATTCTTATGAAATAATTTATGTTCATTTCACTAAATATTAAAAAAAAAAGCTTTAAATTTTACCCCTGATCATTGTACTCCCTTCATTTGTAGATTAATTCTTTTTTGAATTTAAGATCTTTTGAGAACTTCTGGTAGAACCTTCTGCATAGAATTGCTGTTACATGCATTAATTTAAGCTTGTTTGTAGTAACTTTGTCAAGTAAGTACCATCAAGGTACAGGAGTGACATTACGAGAGTAATGTACGTCCTGTGTTTCTTTTGGAGGGACAAATGAAAGCGAGTGAAGGCAAGCACATGCAAGCATTTCCACATACACTGTGTGGCTTCTGCCACTTAGGAGAAGGCTGGGCAAGTAGCAGGCACAACATTTCTTCAGCCCTTGCTGCTTGGTGTGTGCCAGTCTGCCAAACTCCCCACCAAAGCCAGCTGACAGGCAGTCTCCCTTCCAGCAGTCTGACAGGAGCAGGAATGGGCTGTTTAGTGCCTGGCCTGCCAGAAGCATACATAGAAGGGATGGGGTGCATGCTAACCCAGGTGTGCTACCTCGAAGGAGAACATGGCAGAGGGCACAGACCCTTCTCTGACAGCCATTTTCCACTTCTTGCCATGAGAGGTGCTTTGTGCTCCTGTAGCCTGTGCTGAGATCTGACCCCTTCCTGCTCAGATTCTATCCTGTGGTTCTGGGCAGTGCTCCTAGCTCTCTTCTAGCCCCCAGATGGCTGTGCTCTGCTTTAGTACAGACCAATTTTGTTTGATTCAGAACAGATTGAAATGAGGATCTAAATGATTAGTGGACTGTTTGTCATGGTATTAAGCCCAGCCAGCCACTAAGCCCCAAACAGCTTGCTCACTCCCACACCAGAGGGAATGGGAAGAGAATCAGAAGGGTGAAAGTGAGAAAACTCATGGATTGAGATGAAGTCAGTTTGTTAGAGATAGCAAAAGCTGTTCAGAACAAGGAATTAATTCAGTGCTTCCCATAGGCAGGCAGATGTTCAGCCATCTCTGGGAGAGCAGGGCCCAATCTCTTGTAATGTTTACTTGGGAAGACAAGTAAACACTATCGCTCCAAACATGTCCCTCCCACTTCCTCCTTCTTCCCCCTGCTTTATATACTGAGCATGACATCATATGGTCTGGAATATCCCTTTGGTCAGTTGGGGTCAGCTGTCCCAGCTGTGTCTCCTCCCAGCCTCCCATGCACCCCCAACTTTCTTGCCAGTGTGGCAGTATGAGAAGGAGAAAAGGCCTTGGCTCTGTCTAAGTGCTGCTCAGCAATAACAAAAACATCACTATATTATTGTTACTGTGCCCAGCACAAATCTAAAACACAGCCTCATGCCACCACTGTGAAGAATTTTAACTATACCCCAGCTAAAACCAGCACATTCTACCCCGTATCCATACCATTTACCTCATGCCCTGGTCCCACACTGTTAGCATAGCTTCATTAACCACCAGCACCCTTCCCATTCTTTGATATAATGCACAGGTATCATTCCCTTAGCCTATGGACCACCCCTGCAAAATGTCCATAAAACGTCTGTTGAACTTATTTACTCCATGACTTTTGGGCTCTGTTGTGATGTTCTCTTGGGTCAGGAGGGGTGATGTGTTACTTAGAATTAGTGAGCACCAAAGCCAGGTCAGGGCACTGCTGCATTGCAACTGTTTCTTGTAAGGCTTCTCCCTTGTTTCTGGTGGTTCTTGTTATAGCAATTCCTGTAACACAAATCATGGCTTACAACAGTTTAAAGGCACATTCATTACAATCTTCACCCCTGGTCCTTT